TTCATTTTCACAGCCCAAACCACATTTTACAATAATTTTATGATTTGCATGATTTAATTGTATATTTTATTGAATTTTAGTGCATAAAAATACTTTTGGGAAGTACTTTTGGGAAGTAAAAGACTATTCATATACATTTTTCTCATATATGATAGTGGAAAGAAGTCTGATGAGATTAAAGTCTTTAAAAAGCAATGAAAATTGCTTAACGCATTGTAAGCCGCCCTGAGTCTTCGGAGAAGGGCGGCATATACAACAAATTTAAGAAAAAAAAATTTCATTTTCATACATGCTGTATTTAAAATTCATTTTATTGTAGCATCATCGTACAGATAACATAACTCTTGCATGAAAGATAATTGGTTCTATTTCTGAAATGCAATTTTTCACCACATTTTTATATACAGCTTTTTTTCTGTCAGAAAATGGGGGGATGATACCAGACAAATGTGGATGGAAATGCAAGAGAAATTGAGTCTCTTATTTTTAAAAACTAATTATTTTAAAAATTTTAAGTAGAAGCATTTCTATTTTTTTCTGTTTTCTTCCTTGCCATATTGATTGAAACATGGAAGATTAATCTGGAGCCATATAATAAATGAAAAATGTATGCCTGTCATGTGATAGTATACTTCCATTAAACCTTTTTGGATATTACAAATGGATGCCAGTATGACAATAAATGCACACTAGCCTGTATACATCAATTTCCAACATTATTTTAATTATCTTGTAGATTCTTATATATTCTATATAAGGATTCTCAAACTATTGTGAATATTCCTTATCAAGATTTATAGGTTCTTATATGATGTCTCATGGTAGTTTATCAGAGGACCTAAAAATACTTATACATCTTTCTTTTCTATGTAATTATTCTCCAAAGTAACTTTTAAATCTCCAAATGCCTTGTATAGTGAAAGGAATGACTAAGCAATCCATCAGTTTAACAGAATCTACTTGAAGCATGATTAAATTTGGATTCCACCTATTTTTTTTTTTGTCTTTTTCAGTGAGCAGCGTGCTTTTCAGTTGTTAGAAGAATATTTCAATGAATTTGCCAATTAATGGCAACAGATAAAATAATCTAGAATGACATCTATTTAAGTTAAATTACTTATTTAGAATCTGAAAAGTAATCAATTTAGGTGCATAAAATCAGCTCTGAACAACAAATCTGTCATTCATCTCAGGACTGTTTTTTAAAAAAACCAAAGATGCAGATGAATTCAAAATTTTCAGTACTAGCTTTGACATGTCATCAGATCATTCAATTTAAGTGAACTTTAAATTGTAAGGTTTTCGAATCATGATTCTTACGTTCTTGTCGTTTATAACATTATATAATATCAAGTTTCCATGTCAACACAATCCATTTGGATAAAAGAACCATTTTAAAAGTTCATAGTACTTCTCTGAAATAGGTGAAGATTTATGAATGGAACATACTGTACTTCTCTATGGTTTTTAAAAATCTACATATTCACATTGCTAAGTGAATTGTTTTAATTGATATTTAGTTTGTTACATTCTTAGCAATCCTATAATACGGTGTATTGCAATCACTATTCCTAAAATGTCCAGTCTTTGGCTGGAAATTCCGAGAGTTACTAAATGAAATTTTGGAGGATGTACATTTGGTAGAGGGAAGATTTATAATTTTCCCCCATTTGTAATTTACCATACAACATAATAATATTAATAAAATTTAAATATGGAAGGCAAATAAAAGGAAATAATTTGAATTATATTAATGGTCACAGTGAAACAAAACATTCTGTCAGAATTTTTTTAGTGAAATTTACACTGAAGAAAGAGAAACCAAGCAATCATGTAGTTTTGTATCAAACTGAAGTTTCTCACAACTGTCATGTTCATCAGGCCAGAGATAACAAAAATGTAACCTAATATCTACTATTATGAAACAGCAAACAACATCAGTTTTCAACCTTATTAAAACAGAGCAGCAATTGGTATTACTGATGTAACAGAGAGTGATTGAGTTTCTTTCCATCATTATTAAGCAAATATGTGGCTCTGTCAAAGAGCAAATCTTCAAGAAAATCTGTGTGATGAGGTAATTTTATTACTCATTCATAGTGCCTTGTATTTGCTGTACTTAAAATAGACACTTGTACCCAGTGGCTTTTTATTACTGGAAGGAGGGTGGAGAGAAGGAATCACATACACGCTGGTCTTTTTTTCTTACTCCTAGCAAATGGAAGCAATTCAATCCAACATGGGTTGAAACTTGAGTAGGTCACTGTATACCGTGATAGAATTCCCTAATCCCTGAGCCAAATTTCCCGAGGGGGCCCTCCTACTAGTCCTTCACTTTCCAAGCTGACTTTTCCATTCCTTCAGCCCTCTCCTCTCCTCTCTCCCTCCCCTTCATCTCTTCATCTCCCTCTACCTTACAGCCTTGATATCCGATCTGCTGCTAGGATTCAGGTTTCAGTTTTTACAGCTTAGGCTGTCTATTGCTATATACATTCCTTTCTTTCTGCTCTGTCGTGATTACTTAGCAGAGCTTATTTTACACAAGTCCACATGAAAGCAGTTCAGATGAAGGGAAGCAGTCAAGCTGCTTGAACAGTTCAGATGTGCACCTACACAAGGACACATTGTGTTCATCAGAAGATGTTGTCGCATTCATTTCATACAATATGACTAATTTGTTAAGTTACTCTTTAACTTAAGTGAAGAGGAGAAAATCATTTTCATATACCTTTCTTTCAGTAAGTGAAGAATTATTGAAAGAAAGACAAGCAAATATCCAATGTACCTAGAAGAAAACAAGATGCAAACCTGCTCAGAACTTTAGTTATAAAAACACAGAATAAGAGTTAATAAGACAACTAACTCTATGATGTGGCCAAGGCTGCCTGAAAGCTTCTGCTGTTATTCACATTTCAACCGCGCAATCTATAAAAGCTGTTCCCAAAACTATATATCAGATCCACAGCCTTGGGTTAAATTTCTCATATAAATGAAACTCTGATAAATTTATTTCTCTTATTTCTTTTCTTCCATTATCAGAAGCTTAGGGGAAAGGGAGGTTTACTTGCATTAAGATTAGCACTAATGCTTAATAGATTTTCATAAAAAGAAAAAAAAATCTTGTGTAATTTTCCTCCTTTCACACACAGTGTTGTTTTTGTTTCTTCCTCACCATTTCAGACAAACATCTGTTCTACTGCAGAAGAACAACTATCTCCCAAACCACCAAGTGTGCCTGCAGCCAAAGTAAACAAAACAAACCCAGAGGATCCAGCATAGTCAGCCTTTATATATCCAGCCGGGATAGCATTTCATATGTTTTGATTAAAATTAGCTAATTTGTAATGCTAGAACCTATGAAACTTAAAAACTGCAGATCGAATGAAGCACTGTCTTAAACGGACAGTGCATAATGGGACAGAGTTCCATGCCCACTGTCCCCCTTCCTCTCTACCCTTACCAAAATAAAAATGCAAACAAGGTCTGACTAAGCAATTACCGTTAAATTCAAGTGTACACAAAGCTTCCTCTAAGATAGAAAGTCTACATACAAAGAGGCATATGTATATATGCCTAGAAACTGGATAAATGTTATAGATATGCAAGGGACTTTGTTCTTACATATACTCCACCACCTTTGTTCAAATATCCATCTGCTGTTGGACAAACCTTCAATACACCACAGAAAGAAACAATACAAATAACAGAGAACTCTTTTAATTGAGTTTAAAAAATTAAACAAGAAACAGAACATCCTCTTCCAAATTGATTTGCTAAGCTCAATAAGTAAAATGGTCTTGTTGATCCCTTTGGGTTGCTAGTCTTGGACCACATAGGCAAAGATTCCATGGTGATGAATATTCAATTTCACACACACAGCTTTTTTAATCATTATATACCAACAATGTATATTGAGGATTTCAATATATAACCTGTTAACAGAATGATTATGAATGCTCCATTTCACTAAATGTAACTTGAGTGAATGGATTTTATCCTACCTCAAAACTATACTATTTTATTATTTGAAGCAAGGCAACTTCACTTCAGCCCCATAGGTGAGGTTTAGGGGAAAGATAAGTGAGAAACATAAAAAAATTAATGCTAATATTAATTTTTATAATCGTACTATCAGACAATAATTTCATCTTCACCCAGGTGAATATTGTTTATTTATTTATTGGGCAACTTCTCAGATATTAGCCTCTGGAGTGCCAGCCCACAGAATTACCACTGGAGCACAGCTGGATCGGCACTATTTCCTGCCAGGATGCTGGTTTTACCTCCTCCATACACAATCACTCCAAACAGATATAGATGATATACAGAATGTACACACAGAGATCATACATATTCATGCACCCTTCTAGGACAGCTTTCAATTCAACACTCCGCTTCTTTGATTAACTGTGAAGTGGAGCACAGAAAACAGACGCCAAAGTAAAAGGCAGAAGGAAAAGACAAGAGATCCTGTGTCTAAGCCCAAGAATGATGTACCGTTCAGACCATAACATTTCACTTTGACAATTTAATTACACAGTTGCAGCTGGCTACTGGAAAGGGGGAGAGGGTGCTTAAATGACTTCCCTTTCTTTTCTAACTTTTAACGGCTTCTAGATTATCTGGCTAGGATGGGCACTTCAGAAGGGAACTGAACCCCTTTGGAGAAAATATTATAAATAATAGTGGTTATAGCCATCAATGTATCAGATCCCCTAAGGGATCTGGCTTTCTCGCCTGTGAACTGTGCAGTTAGGAGGAGGAGTTCAGGCACCTTTCGTCAACCCCATCCGAGGGTTTTTTTCCCCCCTCTCATCACAACAAAACAAGAGGTCTTTTATTTATAACATCTTCTCCCATGGGGGGAGGGGAGACCGTAATACCGGGGGGGGGGGTGTCTGCAACAAGCTTCCCTCCTCTCCGCCGCTACCCGTCTTCCCTTTTTCTTCCCTTTTCGCATCCGATAAGAGTGACAATAAAGAAGGAGCGCAGAGACGTACCTTCATCTCTTCATTGATTTCCCTTTTCACGGGATGAGCCGGCTTCCTGCTTCTTTTATTTTCTGGAGGTCTCCCTTCTTTCTCCATTTCTGCCATTTTTTATTTTATTTTTTATTTTATTTTTTTGTTTGGTGTGCGTGCGTGTATGTGTGTGTGTGTGTGTGTGTGGGCGCGCGCCCGCGCGCGTGTAATGTGTGCGTGTATCTACTTTGGTGGAGATGAAATGGCTGCTGGTATTATTTGGGAAAAGCTTTCGGGGGGGGAAGGTTGTGGAGAGGAAGGGAGGGAGGACGGGGGCGGCTTTTAGCGCTGGGCGAAAGCGTCAACGGGTGTCAAAGGAGAAAGCGGCTCTGGGAGGGTTGGGGATGCGGGCGGGCCGGACCGTGGGTTGCCCTGGCGAGTCAGCCATCTTCTGTCTCCCTGTCTGTCTGCAGGACCGAGCGCGAGAGACGGGGCTCTGTGCGTGCATGGGGAGGGGGCGGCGAGGGAAAAGGAGGGGAGTCGGGAGGGAGGGAGAGAAAGAGAAAGAAAGAAGCCAGTCCAGTTCCTTCCAAAGAACGGGCGTGCGCGGGGGTGGGAAGGGGGGCGGGAGAAGCAGGACCTCCCCCTGCCCAGGCATTGGGCGGGGCTTCCAATATCATCAAACCCTCCGCCTCTTTTTCTTCTGCTGTTAGTTAGGTTCAGAAGCGGGGAGGGGGCTTTTTATACTTAATTATCATCTCTCTCTCTCTGTCTCTCCTCCCCCACCCTCGGAGGGACTGTCGTCCCTTGTGGAAAACATAACAAGGAACTCCTCAGCTCCTTGCTTCTCCCTTCCAACCCCCCCCCACCCCATCTCTTTTTTTGTTGTTGTTGGTCACTGATGGTCACCACATACGGTCCTCGGCGACACGCTCTTGCCCGCCACCCCTTCGAAACGCGCAATGACCGGACGAAACGGCGCGGATCCTTTTATTAAAACGCCCTGTATTACAAAGGCGCACTTGGGGGAGCGCGCGCGGCTGGCCTCCAAGCGTGCGGTGTGTGGGTGAGGGGAGGAGAGAGAGAGAGATAATTGGAAGGAAGGTTGCAGAAGTGGCCCACGGTAGTGGCAGCGGGGCTGAAGGAACCTAAGAAATTGTGACGAGGAATTGTGTGTGTGTGTGAGAGAGAGCGGAAGAGAGCGCAAGAGAGAAATAGCGCGCCCTGGAACCCTCAGCCTGAGGATGGAGGATGCTGAGTGCTCGAGAGACGGCCCGCTAGCCAGCCCAGCTACGCAATTCCACCTTTAGGAGAAAGAGGGAGGGAGGGAAAAGGCGCAAATCGAGGCTGCTCTCCACGCCTGTCTGCCCACGGCGCTGGAAAGGGAACGTATCTACAGTCGCGTTGAAACCTCTCCAGCTGAGGCGGAGCTTCACGTTTTCGTGGGTGGGCGGCAGTTTGGAGGGAGCTGGGCCGCTGAAACGAACGGCGCTAGTATTCGACGAGCAAAGACAGTACACCGACGGAGGGTTTTGCTTTGTTTTGATTTTGGCGGGAGGATCGTCTTCAGTCCCGCGCAACTAGTCCTCAAGGAAAGCTTCGCTTAATGCGTGGCATCAGGCTTTTGTCCCAACATATTAGGTTCCATCTATGCCAGTAATCAGCTCTCTCTCCCCCTCTCTTCCACCCCCCCCCGTGTTAAAGTTCGTCTCCACGACCATATTCTGAATTAGTGAAAAGACTCAAAATGTATCCCATAGCCGAATGTTATTTTTCAACATTAGAGTCTGGAAACTAAACACTACCTATCTTTCCCAAATCTTTCATTCAGTTCTACAAGGCTGGCTGCCCTTAGAGGTCGGGAGTCCGAAACGCCATCGCCCCAGTTAGACTCGTGTATTAGCACCGATTCTCTCATTCTTCCCCTGTTCTGTTCGACAACTGACTCGAACTAAGTCCTCTCTGTGAAGGTTTTTGTTTCGGAGAGACTTGACTTACTTCACCACCTCTGTTGAGAGAAAAAAATTGTATGATAGACGATACTTGGTACTAAATGTTGGATTAACGGTACACACGGAAGCAGAATGCACTGATTATATTCGGTCGTACACACCTACTCTTTAATAGCTCATAATTATCTGATGCCATACAATATGGAGGTGTCCATTTTCCATGAGTGAAAATCATAATTACGAAAAGACTTCTCATTAGATCTGAAATACATGCACAATACCCAAAGAGAAAATTTACCCAAAATGTGCAAAAAAAAAAGCTCTCCTTCAAAAAAAACCCCAATCTGTCAAAATTCATTTTGGTTCCAATTCTTGATCTGCATTTTATTTATTACAGTTGGCTCATTGACACTAATGGGCCCTGATTATAGGAAAAACAGTATTCTAAGGCAGAATTCAAAAAATCTTTTAATCCAGATTCACATCAAATTCTGGATTTATTCTGAAATTGATTTAGTTAAGAACTGAGATTTGCTGTAAAGCTCTTTTTAGAGTCTATAAAGCTCTTTTAGAAAAAAAAAATTCCCAGATAATTTTCAATATTTCCAGATTTGAAGAATATTGCTGCCTGGGATACAGTATATAGAGATATGCATATATGCATATATGCATACATAATGATACAGTCTTTCAATAATCACAGGAATACAAAATTGTAATGCATTTATCTCTTCTGCAATATTGATGCAATATTCATTTTAAAAACATTTTACCATTATTATTGTATATATACTGTAGAACAGAGGTTCCTAAACCATTTGTCATCACATCTCCTTTTAGTATAATATTAATGTACATATCTCCCTGAAAAATCCAAAAATGAACACAAATGAACAATGAAAACAATACAATGAAACTTTGGGGAAGAAGGATTTATTGTAACAATGTACAGTTCAACAAAGGGTCCATTATACTTCCCATGGAGTCTGTCTGCACTTCCCAAGGGGACACACATCACAATTTGGGAAATCTTGCTGTAGAGGTGTGATTTGGAATTAAAGTCCGAGCTTGCCAACCATTTCCTCTCTACACTTCCTAGCCTATGCTTATGATGTAGCAATACAACATCTTGCTAAGAGGTGCTGTCTTCCCATTGTGCTCTTGATTGGCTAACAAACTGTTGTATTGCCATTCTTCCTAGGGGAAGTATATTCTAAGGGCACTGATTGATAAATAGCTAATAGCATCTATTTCCTCACTTAAAATACAGACATCTCTCTCCCTGCCAGGTATCTTACCAATGACTGAATAATAATAATAATAACAACAACAACAACAACAACAATTTTATTTCTATACTGCCCTTCTCCCGGAGGACTCAGGGTGGTGTATAGCCTATTAAAAGCACAAAGACAACCATCAATTAAAAATAATTAAAATTATTAAATAGTTTCGGCTCAAATTTAAAACCCCCAAAATTTAAAACACCTAATTTAAAATCATTACATTGATAGCCCGGCCTGGCGGAACAGCAGGGTCTTGAGGACACAGCGAAATACACAGAGATTGGAGATCTTACGCATTTCCGGGGACAGTTCATTCCACAGGGCTGGGGCTCCCACAGAGGAGGCCCTCCCCCTGGGTGTCGCCAGCCGACATAACTTGGCTGATGGCACCCTGAGGAGACCCTCTCTGTGGGAACGGACTGGTCGGTGGGAGGCTATTGGTGGCAGAAGACGGTCTCGAAGGTACCCGGGTCCTATGCCATGGAGCGCTTTGAAGGTGCTAACCAACACCTTGAATCGCACCCGGAAGACCACTGGGAGCCAGTGCAGCTCGCGCAGGAGGGGTGTCACACGGGCACAACAAGTTGCGCCCATAACCACCCGAGCGGCCGCATTCTGGACCAGTTGGAGCCTCCGAGTGCTCTTCAAGGGAAGCCCCATGTAGAGAGCATTACAATAGTCCAGCCGGGAGGTGACAAGGGCATGAGTGACCATGCGCAAGGCGTCCCGGTCCAGAAAGGGCTGCAACTGGCGGATCAGGCGAACCTGATAAAAGGCCCTCCTGGCCACGGCCGTCATATGTTCTTCTAAAGACAGCCGTGCATCCAGGAGGACACCCAGATTGCGAGCCCTCTCTGTGGGGGGCAAATATTATATTTGTACATCTGGTAATCTAGACTAAAGCTTCATCCATGAAGGATTTCTAATCGTGGAAGCTAAATCAAGAAGAAAAAGCCTCCTTGCCTTCTTGTCATGAGCAGGTCAATGTGTAAACTGTCACTAAGCCACCAGTGGAAGTTAGCAATATTTGAAATGTTAGTTGTAAATTGTTCAAGAAAGAGGTCTACAAGGAATGAATGAATAAAAATAACAGTGCTATAAATATAACATTGTATCAATTCATTATTCTTCCTCCCCCCTACCCTGCACAGTGTGTTGATATTTGAGTTGGTAGGATTTAACTATTGCCAAGCAAACTCACAGATTTATATTTTTAAGTATTGATTTGTTCCAGGGGTGAAATGCTCCCGGTTTGGACCAGATTGCCTGATCTGGTAGCGATGGTGGCGGGTGGTTCGGAGAACCAGTAGCAAAAATCCCTGCAGCCCCACCCTCATGCCCAGCTGAGCCACGTGATCATCAGAGGCTTTTTTAAAAAACTTTTAAAAGCATTTTTTCTGCAACCTCTTCCACCGAAGAGATTGTAGAAAAAATGCTTTTAAAAGTAAAAAAAAAAAAAAAAGTTGGCCATGCCCACCTAGTCACATTAACCCCCACCAAGCCATGCCTACAGAACCGGTAGTAACAAATTTTACATTTCCCCACTGGTTTGTTCTGAGCTTATAGTTGTGCTCAAGGTTTATTAAAATCAGTGGATATTTTGCAGTTGGGTTTAATGGTGCGTGAATTGAATGTTAAACATTAACTTTCTTTGTTTTAGAAAAAGATTTGCTTCATCAAAAAGCAATATATTCAAATCTATAAAAGCTTCATCCTTTAACTGTAGCTTTGCATACACAAATACAACCGTGGGTGCGTTAAGCTCTTAAATAATAATAATAACAAATTGAATTGTAAAGTAGTTGGCGCTCTCTGAGCTTGATTATTTGCTTGCAGATATTTCATCTGTCTCTTTCATTGCCTCTATTTGTTCTTGCTTTGAGTTGTCTTGCAGAATCTGCAGGAATTGTCCCTGGAATCTCTGTTTCAGTGAAATCCATCTCTTGAAGCAACCATTCAAGACTTCTTCAAACGGCATTTCTTGGCATCTGCTAGCCATGTTGATCAGTTAAAGGTTAATGGTCTATGACTGGGAATATGCCATCATATGGTTTTATTTTTTTATATACAAATAGAAACCAGCAGGGCATTTTTGCAGGAATCCCATGAAGGCAACTAGTTCACAGTACAAGATGATGGATAGCCGAAGAGGTTGTAGAAAAAATGCTTTTAAAAGTAAAAAAAAAAAAAAAGTTGGCCATGCCCACCCAGTCACATTAACCCCCACCAAGCCACGCCTACAGAACTGGTCGTAACAAATTTTACATTTCACTACTGGTTTGTTCTGAGCTTATAGTTGTGCTCAAGGTTTATTAAAATCAGTGGATATTTTGCAGTTGGGTTTAATG